CAAGAACTGTACTGTAATCGCAAAGTTTGTTAAGTAATAGTGATCACTTAGGCATTAAAAAAGTAAAATTGTTCTACCTGTACAATTACAGTACATTTCTATATGATATTAAATCCTGTATTTTTTTTACTCACTCAGTTGCAAAACTTCCAATTAAAAAATCAAGAAAAATGGTAAGTAAACTGACACAGCATATAAAAGATAACCATGAATGGTGGCTGAAAGTACTTGAAGAAGAAGCTAAAGAAAAAGCGGAAAAAGAAAAGAAAGAGAGAGATGAAAAGAAAAAAATTGATGACACAGAAATGGAAACTATTGAAGAGGAAGAAAAAGAAATTGAAGAAAAAATTGAGCTCAAGAACGTTAAGCCAAAAGAAAAAAAGAAAGTTCGTCTTGGTCCTGTATCAACAATGGTCGAAAGTGACCAATTAGATGACAGTTCTCAAAACAGTTGTCAAGATGATGACAAGTAATTTGATTTACACATAATACTACAATGTATTTTATATATGAGACATTTTGTTTTTAAAATATGGATATTGTTGTAAACCATTATGTACCTATATTCTGCTAATATATTTATTTTGCATGTATGGTCATGCATTGTTACAAGGAGTGCAGACCAATCAAAATTAGGGAGTCTTTGAAACTAGCCAATGAAATTAGTAGAATTGTTTTTAAAATAGAGCATTGAAGTCATTGAAGTTTACCAGCTAAGATGGATGAATTTTTAAATCTAGAGAATCATCTTATTGGTCCATTTTAATCATCCAATATAAGTGTCATTAAAATGGGCAAATCATTGAGTTGGTCAAACCGACCAATCAGAGCACATTATTTATTGAAAGCTTTACTACCATCAAAATACTGGACTTATTTTTAACTGAAAAGAGTATACACTTTTTATAACAGTGTTGTATTACCATATATGAATAATTTGAGTGCTTGCATATTTTCCACTTAATGGGTATTTAGTTTATGTCTAATTTATGTGTATAGAATGGCATTTATAGAAGCCATAATTAGATGCACTATTGACTGGAGTTTTCTGAAACTAAATTATTCTCTGTGGCTTACTGTTTGAAACCTTAAGTAGAATATTCGTGGAATCTGAACTAGCTTTTAAATCATGAACCTCTATTTTACGTGTTTTGACCATTTTCTATTTATTTGCTCTTTTCCCATTTATTTGGATGTTTTACTTTGCGTAAAATCTGTAGTGAATTAAAGTACTGAATTTTTATTTGTCAGCTAGCCTTAATTGTCCAGACGTATTCATAATTATATAATTCACACCCAGTCTAAAAGTCACTGAAATAGACATTCCTACATAATATCAAAATTTTCTTAAAAAAAAATTAAAACTTCATGGAAATGTGTCCTACGTATAACGAGTTAACATGAAGTTAAATTGCATAAACGTTTAACAGTTGATATTTAAATGCCTCACTTCTGCATAAGATATAGATGTGGAATTAGTCTGTCCTCAGTCTCGTCGTCAGTGTTGTTAATTTTATCATGTGGTTATGATCACCCAAGTTTCTTTCAGATTTGAAGCAGGCTATCATGGTCGCTTTCTTAGTTACTAAGCAACATTTTAAAGATTGAAAAAATGCAATCACTATAAGTTCGTCTTACTAGTTGTAGGCAGTTTTTATACTGTCATAAATTATCTATTTTCTGTCAGAAACAATAAAAAGATGCATGTAAGATGAGAAGTGCATAGCATAAATCAAAATTGAAATCAAATCAAATTATTTAAGCCTACACCATATAGTTTAATAAATCTCTTGTAGGGAAAGTTATGGAATATCATTAACTAATATTTGTGTTTAATGTAATTGAGCAAATGGTTCTAGAAGACATTAATCAACCAGTTATGGCTAGAAATCATAAGTTATTGTTCAATGTTTAAAGGCACAACATGCCATGGGCCACTGTTGTCTATCACTGTTGTCGGAGGGGCTTCTGTAATTCAGAAATCAACAAAGATGCTACCGTCATTTATTTAGGGGAATTATAAAAAATGATAATTATGTAAGGAAAACAAGCGTGGATTTTGAATAATCTAGAGTAACAACCGATTTAATGGAAGTGTTATTTATTTAGTGTTATGACATATTTCGTCTGTTTTCTCTGAATAGAATACATTTTACAATTGCAATCTCGTGTCTGCTACAATGTAGGTATTCAAATACCCATTCCCTTTCTTCTAGTGGACGCTAGGCATGATATAAAGTTGTGTTGTGAATAAAAACAAAAAAGGATTGTGCTTCTAAACAGATGGCTGATGTGAAATGTCGCACCTTGGATAAATGTGACACAAATGATTCAACCAAATATCCAGCTGTTGCAATAGCTTTTATCGTCATTGTAAGATGGGTTCAACTATGGATACAGTGGTTGTTCTTAATATAAATTGGGTGACTTTGGGTGCAGTAATTAGTCCTATGTACTGCTAGGTTCAACTACGCATACAGTGATTGGTCTTAATACAAATTGGGTGACTTTGGGTTAAGTAATTAACCCTCTCTACTCCCAGGTTCAACTATGGATGCAGTAATTGGCTCAAATACTGCTAAGACAAATAGTGGTGTATGTATTGATGATTGTGCATTTTTCAACATTGAGTGAGCCTAGTACTCTTGGTGGTGGTAATTGGGACAGCTATAAGTGATTGTCTAGAACACGATTATTATAAATAGTTTTTTTAGCTCCGCTGTCGACTTTGTCGAGCGGAGCTTATCATATGAGTGATTGTCCGTCGTCCGTGTCAATGTTTTACTTTATCGACTTCTTCTTGAGAACTACAAGCCTGAATGCTTTGATACTTGGTGTATATGTACCTTGGGTAGACATCTCTCAGATTTGTTCATTTCATGATCATATCTTCAATTCTCTAATTTTGGTGAATATTTTTGTCATTTTTGGTAAAAAGTGATATTTTCGACTTCTTGTTAAAAAACGCAAGTCTGATTGCTTTGATATTACATATATAGGTACTACATGTGAACCACTCTCAGATTTGTTCATTTTGTAATGATATCTTCAATTCTCTAATTTTGGTGAATATTTTTGTAATTTTTGGTAAAAAGTGATATTTTCAACTTTTTGTTAAAAACCGCAAGTCCAATTGCTTTGATATTACATATATAGGTACTACATGTGGACCTCTCTCAGATTTGTTCATTTTGTAATGATATCTTTAATTCCCTAATTTTAGTGAATATTTTTTTAATTTTTGGTAAAAAGTGATATTTTCGACTTCTTGTTGAAAACAGCAAGTCCAATTGCATTGATACTATGCATATTGTTCATTTTCTAATGATATCTTCTGTTCTTTAATTGAAATGTGCATTGCTAACAGCGGAGCTATCTCAGCCGAGAGACTGCTTGTTTATGAAACTAATCATATGTATGACTTGTATATTTATTTCTTGCAGAATAGTTGAGGAAAAACATTATTTTTTTCATTTTTTTTCAAAAGATATCGAAAGTGGGACCTGGTGAGTTTCCATAGTGATTAGATTCAAATTTCAGCATCAGTCGCTTTACTTACCTCCTGTTACAATATCCCTCCACCCTATAGACTGTTTGTTTCAATTTATTTTTTATCAGGGATATTTTCTCTTTTTATCAAATTATTTAATTATTTGCAATTCTGTAATTATAAACAAAATTTATGAAAAGTAGTTTGAAAACTAATCTTATTTATATCAAAGTTCTGTATTTATTCACAAATTATGTCGTTTACATCGGCTGAATTCTGAACTCTAAAAATTCTTTGTTTTAAAATGTTTTCTAGAGTGAAGTGAGTATTAATTTTTGAAGAAAAAAAACACATTACAATGCATGTTATGAATATATTATTTTTTGTGTCATGTGACTAATTTGCATACAGGGTCATGATTGGAGAAAAGGTTATCTTACTTGCTTTTACATTATAAAAACCATGCAACTTTGTTTGTGTAAAAGAATAGTAGTTAAATGCAGCATTTTATTTTTCAGCATTATTATTCAGATAATATTGTATTTGTTTCTGCCAAAGCAGCATTTTTATGTAGTTTTGTAATTTTTTTTTTAATTTTAAATCATTATTTTTTATTTCGTATAGAGCTTGTTTAAATGTGAAAACAACTATATTGTGAAAAGTGACAAAACATGAATGCAATGGAATAAGTTCAAATATACCTTGAAGGAAATATGTTAATGTTCAACTGGCCATATGTCATTTTTCTCAATATGATATTTCCATAACATTTTTGATCACAGTCTGCAGCTTTGAACTTGAACATGGTGGATTTTGACTACTCATAGATCTGTGAATGCACTACCATTTCTTGTTTTCACAGTGATTGTAATGTCTTCCAGTTATGTATTGAATGCCAATCCAATTCTGGTATGCAAATTACACACACAGCAGCCAATCAGGATCCTGTATGCAAATTAGATTTTTAAACCCAGTAAGCCTTGAGATATCCAATGATAAATGTGATTGCAGTCATGTGATCTCTATACATATTAGCCAATCATAATCTATTCTGATTACACATTGTTAATGCTTACCTGGTCTGTAAATAACATAGAGGGCGCTATCACATTATTTTTATGATCTCTGTTATGTTTCTAGTGTTACACCAAAATGTTGTGTTTGCATAGTAAAATAATAATGAGTTGTTTTTATGCAACTTGTATGCCACATTTTATTGAGTATTTATGATGTTTGTTTCCAAAAACTTCAACATGAGATAGATCATCTCGATTGCAGAAGGCTAAATTCATTACGTTAGAATCTATTGTGCAGTTCAGGGATTGTTTATCACTTTACCCTGGGTCTATTGTGTAACTCTATGAGGAATTAATTCATTCCATATGATCTATTTCGTAAATTCGTGTGAGATTAACTAATTGCCTTAAAATATATTGTGTAAATTTGTTAGTGATTAACTAGTTGTTGACATGTTGACATGCGACAAGCAAGGTGATTGAGTGTTCACGTCATTTATGCTTCCCGAGCTAATAGCACCAATGACGTATTTAACTCATTGCACAAGGGTCTTTATTGTAATCCATTACCCCAAGGTATATGATGTATTTCTGTGACTAATTTGGTCATTGCCCTTAAAGCCATAGTTTCTCTCGTGGAGTGATTAACTCATTGTGTTAGGGTATATCCATATCTCGGTGAGTGACAATCTCATTGCCCTAGTGTCTATACTGTAACTCAGGAAGATATTAACTCATTGCCTTAAAGCGCGGTAGTCGTCGTGCTGCGCATTATGGTCTCATATAAACAAAGATGGCGACTTTGACTGTTGCGCAGAACAACGAGTACGAACTGAGACGTTTTCAAGCTTTAATTAGGTAATTTTCATGTGATTGGAAGGTATCGAATGAGTCACCGGCGGTAATCATTGCAAATCGCGCCCAGGTCAAACCTCATTCTTGTGGTTTCCATTTGAAGAGCGCATTG